ATCTATATCTATATCTATATCTATATCTATATCTATATCTATATCTATATCTATATCTATTTATTAATGGCTCAAACCTTATACAAGACTGGAATCTAATCTAAGCCCCCATTGGTGGCTTCAAGGACAAGCCTCTATTTTTCCTTAAAGATACTGTTTGTCTCTGCCTTTTTGATCCTTGAACATTTCTTGATTCAGCCCCACAGGCACACTGAGGCTGACAGCCCTCCCCTTCTCCTATTCCAGAGTAACTGGGCTCCTCAAAGACTCTCCCAAAATGTGAGTTTGGAAAATTTCAAGTCTGTTTTTTTTGGTAATTTTCAATATTGTCTCTGTTGTGTAAAAATACAGCAAAACTTCCAGAGTCCTACTTCTTTCTTCAGTGTCACTTTTAAATTCCCTTTTATTCTTTCCTCCATCTAATCTCCTTCAATTACTACTCTAATCTGCTGCTATGCGTGACTTGAAGGAGATGCCATTATTTTTTGAGAAAGGAGAAGAGAAAGATTCCAGCACTTTTGATTTCCAGAGAGAGTAAGAAACAGTATTTCTGCCCCCTAGGAACATGTAATCTAAAAAAGACCTTCAGTCATACCAGCATAAGCTATATTTACACTGGGCCAAAATTAGCAATTTATTGGAAAACAAAACAAAGCAAAACAAATCCATTTTGAAGGATAGGTATAGTCACAAAAATGAACACTCAGACATTGCAGAAAGATATAATGTATTTCTGTCATTAGGCAATGGTATGAGTGAGTCCTTTTCCACGGTGTGCTGAGGGAAAAAACAGTAACCTTCCTTCCAATAATTTGGGATAGAATTGCTAGAGGAGCTGGATTGCTTTCTAGAGAGTTCTGATGATGAAGTGGAAGGACATAGCCTGAATGAAAGCTCCAAGTTGAGTCTGAAATGATTCAAAGGAATGTCAAAGAAATGTCATAAGAAAATTTGCCTATAAGAAGAAGGAGCTGGACAGAAGATATTGGTTGATAAGTGGTTAACAATAAGGTCAAATGTAAGTTTAGAAAATCTTGGTCCTAGAGAGTAAGTAAAGAAACCTATCTTCTCCCTCTCAGTAGAGAGATGAGAGCTGTACATGTGGAATGAAGTACACAAGGTCGTATGTAATTGCTGTGATTATTAACTTTGTCCATTTTTTATTACTGTTCTTACAAAGGTTTAATAGAGTGGGAGTGCTAAGGAATAACAACTGGCATAAATACGAAAGTAACAATAACACTATTTTAAAATGGTGGATTCGGAGAAGTTTGATGAATGTCTTTGAAACTAAAGGTAAGAATCTTGGTTAAAATAAATTATAATATATGTACAAAGATTACTGAGTTTGGAGTTAGGAAGCATGGTTTTTAATTTCGGTTCACAGATGTCCTAACCATTCACAAGTCAGTTAACCTTTCTGAGCCTCAATTTTCTTATCTATAAAATAGGAAAAATAATAATCACTATTAACCTCATGGGTTTATTATGGGGAAAGTGCTTATTAAACCTTCATGTATTAATGCCAATTATTATTATTATTATTATACATTATTTTAAGTGTATAAATACTTGCTCACATTTGTTATTCTAAACATAGCAGCTTTGTAAAGTAAGGTAAGATAGTGTAAGTGATATTATCCCTGTCATAAAGATCTTTCCTCTACTACCCTCTCTTCAACAAATCAATCCTGTGCATGCCAGAGACCATATCCTGGAGTAACTCTGGCTAGCAGCCTCCCTCCGTTGCTCCTTGAAACTGATCATGCTTCAATTCTTCTACAAGAGAAGGATATAAACATTAATAAGGGCCTACTATGTGCTAGGCACTTTACAAGTATTATTTCATTTGATCCTCAAAACAACCCTAGGAAGTAGATGTTACTACAATTCCCATTTTATAGTTGAGGAAACTGAGGTAAACAGAGGTTAAATGATTTGCCCAGGGTTGCACAGTTAGTAAGTATATGAAGCCAAATTTGAACTCAGGTTTTCCTGACTCCAGACCCCATGCTTTATCCATTGCATTACTTGTGTAGAACACAATTTACAGATAATAATCAAACATACAGTACCGTTTCTATTAAATTCCATATAGCTAATTGATTCTCAATAGAATGCTTTTGTTGATATTTTTCTGAATTCTTGTATCCATAACTAATCTATGGTTGCAATCCAACCATGATTTGATAAATAGAGTTACATTCCAATCTACTGTTTTCCCAATATATTTATTGTCATTAAATCTAATTGAGATTTATTGATAAATTATTTCTCATCTGTGTACAATTTATATTCATTAAACTGAAACCTCTTTTAGTTTCAACAGGGCTGATTATAATAGAGCTAACTATCTTAACACTATTTGTATAGTTACAGGGATTGGAACATTGATTCTATAGTATTATCTATAAAATTCTGAAAACTATTCAGATCAATCTCATTTTAAAATTTCATTTAAATTATATAATTTTTTTTCTACCAACTGTCCATGAATAGTTAGTTCTTCATTAGGCCAAGCAATTGGTTCTAAAAATCAGCATCATTAAAAATGCTTTCACCATTTTTTTCTATCTGATAAAAGATATAAGTTCATGAGCTGAATGATATTTTCTAGTAACATATTGCTAGGAAGAACATTTAATTGACTATTTTTTATTAAGTGGAATATCTATAAACATATTTGACCTAAAGCTTCAACTTGAGATTCATGCTTTCTAGTACCAATCTTTAAATTTTCCCAAGCTCATATTGTACATTTGATTAATTTTTGTGCTTTCTGAATGTTAGTTGATCTTAACTAAAATGTAATTAAGAGTAATGAAAATTCTTCAAGAATATTAATCATTAAAGTAAAGTCTTGCAAGAAATTAATATTAGCTAATCTGTTAACCAAACCAGAATTACAAGAATAATGAGAAAAGTGCATATATGAGGTAGGACCTCAGCACTACACAGCAGTAGCAGTCAATAAATTATACACTGTACATCTTGGTCCCAGTACTCAAACAAATTTTGTAATTCAATTTCAAGTTCTTTAGCTACACTTCTCACTTGGTTTTATTTTTATTAGATTGGTGATAAATGTAATAAATTTTATCCAGAAATATTTCAAATGATTAACTTGTTTTATTTTGGATATGAAATTGTCAAGGAATAATTGTGACCCATTTTTTAAACAGTGCCAAATGAAGATTTTAGGCAAATTTTCTTTTATAGCAACTCCAGACTTTCTTTCCAGAACTATATTAACATCATTAGTGAAAAATGAAATTAAGTTCATTTTCATATATTCATTATTAAAGCCACAATCATTTAAAATAACACTATTTGTATAGTTACAGGGATTGGAACATTGATTCCATAGTATTATCTACAAAGTTCTATTCAAATAAATCTCATGTTAAAATTTCACTTAAACTTTATAATTTTTTTTTCACCAGCTGTCCATGAATAACAGTTAGTTCTTCATTAGGCCAAGTAGTTGGTTCTAAAAAATCAGCATGATTAAAAATGCTTTCACCATTTTTTTTTTGTCTGATAAAAGATTTAAGTTCATGTGCTGAATGATATTTTCTAGTAACATATTACTAGGAAGAACATTTAATTGATTATTTTTTTATCAAATGGAATATCTGTAAACATATTTGACCTAAAGCCTCAACTTGAAATTCATGCTTTCTAGTACCAATCTTCAAATTTTCCCAAGCTCAGATTCTTTTAAGGCAACAAACAGCATTACTGCTCAGAAAATCCCTGTACATTTAAATTGGTTTGGGCTAGCTCCATGAGAATGTAGATTTCTGGACGATGGAGATTGTCTTTATTTTTGTCTTTTTACCCCTAGCACCTAGCACAGTGCTTGGCACAAAGTAAGTGCTTAAGTGCTTTTTTCACTTATTTATCCACGAGGAAACTGAGGCCCAGAGAGGTAAAGCAATTTGACCCTGGTTTCATAGCTACTCAATGGCAGAATTGGGAGTCAAACCCAGGTCTTCTGACTACAAGATCATCAATTTTTTCCCTATTCCAAGGCTGAGTGACTTGACCAAGGTCACAAAGTTAGTTAGGATAGGAGCTAGGACTGAATTTACTTCTTTTGATCCCAAGGCTGGTGCTTTTT